CTGGTTTAGCTGCTAGGAAAGGCTTTGAAAAGCAAAGCACTGAATTCATCATCAAAACAACTTGTCAATTCTGTTAATGTCAGTCAGACCAATCTTTTGATACCATAAGCAAATAAAATTGATGGGTTGACAATGTTTCTCTTTCAACCTAGTGAGTTTGAGCTAGAGTGTTTTTTGAGTGTTTGACCTCTGAATACTCAAAAAAAGGAAGCTCAGCTATTCACAGGGAAAGAGGAAGTTCTGTTAATTCCAAAGTAACCTAAGAAGGGTGCTTCTTACCCCTAGCATGAACTGGAAAGCAAAAAGGAATCAACTAGAATTGGTGTAGGTAAGCTGAATTTTTTTTAGTTTCTCCTGAGTCTAGATATGTCCTTAAATTTTACAATATGTCCTTAAATTATTTGAAGTATTATGGAGTCCCAGAAACTTGGAGAACCGAAATACATATCAAAACCAAATGTTATCTGATGTTCTGATGACCAAATGCTTTGATTTATCTTTACTCTCACAGAATAAGAGGTGTGCATTTTTACACATGCCTCATTTTAAGAGAAAATAAGAGGAATCAGAATTGTTGTGTCTATTGGAAGTCGAAATGATCACATATTCAGTATCAGTTAGAGCCATTGATTATCTTTTTCTACCACCAAATACAAATTTCTTTCATTTAGTGCGGTTTTCAAAGCAGATGTAGGTTTTGAGTCTGATGAGATAGTTTCCCATTTAGGCTTCTCTGAATTATTGATATAAAAGAAGGTGGCACCAAGTGCTATAATGATATAAATATTGAAAAACAAGAAATTTTATCAACCAAGCTTAAACTCAGTTTGACCTCTAAATTAGGAGACTGCTAACCATACATTAACATGTAGTAAGTAAACTATTTCAAACATAGTATTGTATGTTTTGGGGTCAGCTAACTTTGAAATGATCTGTGTTGACATAGAAGGGAGAGGAATGTAAACATTGAACGATACATTGGACGTCTTTTTTTGAATCAAATGGCCATATTGAAAACCAATATTTTTCTAGTCTTTCCCAACAAAATTTTAGCACGAGTCACAAAGTAAAGTATTTTTCCTTCTCTTGCTCAGTTGCTGGATATGCCATCAACCAAGAGAATATTGAATATGTAACAGCCAGCCTAGGTAATGGGGCCTTTGATTGCCCCTCCCTGAGAAAGTTCTTGCTTTGTAGTGCTGAGGTAGAATGGGCTCAGGAGAAATCCAATCACTCTCAACAATGCTGAGGTTTGCATTTGGAGGTCCCGCGATGGACAGAAGGAAAATTTATCTTCTCTTTATCTCACTACATTATGCCTTGTGAAGGGCAGATGGCTTCAGGAGAGAACGAAGATTGCTTCTCCCTTCTAAAAAACAGCAAACACTGCAATGTGCTCCAGGGAGTCCATTGTGTTCTCAGTCATTTTTGAGATATTTTGTATTTTCTTTGCAATAATACCTCAGACTGGAAGACTGTCTTATCCCAGATGCCCAAACTTCACCTCTGTTTCTGGGTGTCTATTCTGGTCCTGTAATAAGGAAGAGACAAGTGAAGAGGAGATGCAGGCAGAAGGAGAACAGTTACTCACTGGTTGGTCTGTATGTCCTAAAGGCAATCATTTTTAACTCCTTCCTCCTCACGCACCATGCTTAAGCCAATGTTGAGTTTTGCAAAGTGCATCCTGGAAATATTTCTCAAGTTTATCCACTTCTTTAGAACCATATTCCAGTCCCTTATCACCTCCTCCTGAGACTACTACAACTGTATCCTAACTGGACTTCATGGTTCCCTCTTGTACCCTTCACATTTACCTTCCACATTTTTGCTAAAGTGATCTGTATAAAGTGAAAAGTTGTGGACATCACTTTCCTGCATAAAAGCTTTTGGTAGATCCCCAAGACCTGCAGGAGAGAGCCCAGGTTCCCTAATGGAATGAATGATGCTTGCTCTGCCAATCCTATCTCCCATGATTCATGCATGGTTCAGCAAAGTGGAGGTAGCTGTGATTCCCTACGCGTGCTGGACTCTTTGTCACCTCCTGATTTCTTTAGCCTAGACTGCTTTTTTTCTCTCTTGTTCTATCCTCCCCACACACCTCTAACTTACCCCCAAACCAAACACACATACTCTTCTATCTCACCCTAGTCCCCAACACAAAGACACATCTTAGCTAGGCTGACTTTGACTTAGTAAAAACTTGTCAAGGCAATGTTTGCATAATCCTTCAAGACTTGGGTCAGCAGTCATTGCCTGAGAGATCCCTGCTGGTTCCCCAACTTCCCCCAAAAGCTCTGTGCAGATCACTGTGTTGCTTGTCTAAAGTAGTGACATCTGTTTACATGTCTTTCTTCCCCACACGATTGTGAGCTGCCCAAGGACAGAAACTGAGCACCATTCATGTTTGGAAAATCAACTCTCTCCCACATGCATCTTAGGAACATATCATACCCTGAATTAGACGAGACATAGTCAGCAAACTACTGGAGTGTTGATGCTAGAGCTTCTCTCTCCCTTCCCTCTCCCTTCCCTCTTTCCACCTCACTGTGCATGATGAGAGAAGGAGGCTGAGCTGGGGAACCATCTGGGATTTCTCTCTCGCCTCCCTCTGTTTCCCGCCCACGCTCTCCTTTTTGTTCCCACAAATGTCCTATTCTCATCTTTTTCCTTATATCAAACTCTCAAAGTCATATCAGGAAGAATTTGATTACACATTAAAATGAAATCCAAACAATTAGCAGCAGAATCTCAATTCCCAGGGGATTCAGTAAGCAGAAATACACATACCTAACGTTCACTCTCTGAAGAGCAGAGGCGGTATTGGCATTTCTTTTTGGGGTTGCTTGCCCTTCCAGTGAAAACTGGCCCAATGACTTCTAAGTAAACAAAGAAAAAAGCCCAATAAAATAAAACTAATTTTTTTTAAAAGTTAAGCTTTTGTATCAAGACAGCCTGAACTTTTTGATTCTTCACATATTTACTTTTCAGTACTTTCAAGAATATTTGTGGACTCAATAATAAATGAAGCTAAAGTTGTTGAGACAGATTTTGAACAAGAATTTAATGAGATGGTAGTCAAACTGATGATAAGAACGATACAGTTAGGTCACCATTTTTCACTCAATGATTCAATGGGATCCTATTAGTCAAACAGTGCATATAAAAAAGCATTAACATGTGGTCCTTGGTGTCAAGAGCCTGGGTAACTAGGGGTCTAGGGGAAATACACATGAGCCAAAAGTTAAACAAATTGAAGGGTATGGAACAAGAGGTGTTCACAAGGTAGACCCTGACCAAACGGCGAATGAATGATACAGACGGCAATCAGTTTGAGGCCTAGAAGGGACTGATACTCTGGATCATAGAATTAGTGGACAAATTATGGGGGTGGAAACACTCACAGCATGTTCCTGGAACCTTGACCTAAATGGTTTGACTAATTACAAGTGTTTTGGTTTGAGAAAATGAGGTTGGAAAAGCCTGTGGAGGCCTGTGAATTTGAGGATAAGAAGTTAGGTTGTATCTGTTAGGCCTCTGGTTCTCAGACTTGATTGCAATTTAGCATTAAATTCTAAATGGAGACACTTAAGAAATGTGAATGGATGCCTGGGTTCTATGCCCAGAGATTCTTATTTAATTGGCCCAGGAAGTCAGACAAAAAAGGGCACATATTGTATGATTCTATTTATATGAAATGCCCAGAATAGGCAAATTCATAGAGACAGAAAGTAGAATAGTGGTTTCCAGGGGCTAAAGGGAAGGAAGAAGGGCAAGTGACTGCCCATGGGTGTGGTGTTTGTTTTGGGGTAAAGAAAATATTCTGGAATCAGATAGTGGTGGTCCATTTACAACTATGTGAATATACTAAAAAATCAACTGAATTGTATACTTAAATATGCGAAAAAATCCACTGAGTCATACATTTGAAAAGGGCAGACTTTATGGTACATGAATTATATCCCCACAAAGTTGTTATCTAAAAAACCACAACACAATATCAATCTTCTCCAACTTCTATCCCTAGCCTAGATCAATTGAATCAGAATTTCAGGAGTAAGAGGTTCTGGGCACAGGTATATATTTTTTAAGTTCTTGATGTACTATCGGTTTTAATAACTATATAGGAGATAAAAAGGTATTATTAGTTTAGTTCCATGTGGCTTTCCTCTTTTCAAAGAAAAAACAAAATCCTTGAGTTCATGAATTCAAATTCAGGTTAAATTGTATATTTCATTTTAATTGATTCTGATTTTATTCGGGTCTTCAGCATGAGTATGTGGGATGTTGCTTCAAATAAACTTTTCCTAAAAATGCAAAGGAGTAAATAATTATTAACATACCCTAAAACAAAAACAAAATATGTTTTTGCTTGTATTTAAATTTGAATCAAAGACATAAAGCAGTTTTTTGTTTTAGAAAACATTTTGGAAAGTTTTTAGTAGCAAAGTTGATTCTCAAAGCTTCAGTGGTCTATTTCTTTCTCAGGTGGTTGTGGCCAACTTGGGTTTTAGTACTGACTTTGCTTACCATTTGCTCAGTGACTTTAAACAAACCTTCTATTGTTCTAGGCCTCAGACAGTCATTACAAAAAAAGGAATATGTTGTCATGTGCCATCAGTGAGGATAGCACAGGAAACAAAACACATGTGTTCTCTTCCCTCATGGAGTTAATAACCTAGTTTAAGCGTTTTTTATTCTCTTTTTCTTTTAAAGTGAAGAGCTTGAACTAAATGGTCTCCAGATTCTTTGATTTTTTATTGAGATAGTGGTAAAAATAGAAGATGGACCAGAGAGGTAACTCTTACAGATCTCTTCCATCCTTTGTGATTTAAGGAAACAAATCTCTCGGTATAATTATCTCCCCAAGAGTTCTTATATCTTCATCTGCCAAGAGAAAACCTATGCTGGAGAGCAGTCCATCTGGTTAATTAATTCATCTTGATTTCAGGAAAAAATAATCTTATATTCTTGTTCTAAGCAAATGATTTCTTTCCCCTCAGAAAACAAGATTTTGGTGAAGCAGTTACCCAGGCTTGTGGTGAGCAACAATGAGGTCAACCTTAGCTGCAAGTATACCTACAACCTCTTCTCAAAGGAGTTCCGGGCATCCCTTTACAAGGGAGCAGACAGTGCCTTGGAAGTCTGTGTTGTGAATGGGAATCACTCCCATCAACTGCAGTTTCACTCAAACACAGGGTTCAATTGTGGTGGGAAATTGGACAATGAATCAGTGACATTCTACCTCTGGGACCTGAACGTTAACCAAACAGATATTTACTTCTGCAAAATTGAAGTCATGTATCCTCCTCCTTACCTGGACAACGAGAAGAGCAATGGAACTATTATCCATGTGAAAGGTAACATACAACTCTACCGGTGTGCCACCCTAAAGCAATGGTTTCCAGTCACAGTCCTGAAAACTAGGTCATGGCCAGTGTTGGGGTTGAATAGGTCCTAAGTGATCTGACACTCATTAAGACAAATAACGTTTTGGGGATTCTTTTTTCCTTTCACTTCAGGGGAGATTCAAGGTTATATTTTGAATATCTTTGCTTTCCCTCACTGACACTGAGTAGGAGAGTAAGGAATGAAGTTACAACCCATGCGAATAGTCTCCATTTGAGTGGGTCATGGTAGAAAAAAATGTTGGCATTAAAATGTAAGCCCAGGTACCCTCAAGAAGCCACTGAATCAATGAATCAAGACTCAAGAAGACTGGGTCCTATTTCTAATGAATTCTTTTTTATATGGTCTTCCTCTGTAAAAGTATATTTCCATTTTCTTTTTAAAAAATTTTTAAGTTTTAATGTACATTTCCATTTTCTAAAATATACAAAGGATGCTGGATTAGAAATCAGGGAGCATGAAATTTGCTATTAATCAACTCTGTGATCTTTAAGTCACCCAATTTTTTCGTAGCCCCAAACTCAATACTATTAAACTGTGTTCATGAATTAGTGACAATAAGTCTATTGAGCTAATGTTGAGATTACAGTCTCTCTTCAAACTCAATACTATTATGTAGTGTTTATTAATTAGTGAAAATAAATCTACTGAGCTTATGTTGTAATTATGCTCTCTTTAAATGTTGGGGAGAAAAATTATGATTCCCCAACTCAGAAGAATACTGTCTATGGTAGCAACAAGTAAAACTGAGAAAGGTCAGATAGACTTTTCAGTATACTTTGTGTATATACTATAGCTTTTCCTTTCTGTAGAATGATAAATAAGAAAGTGTGTATTCAGCTTTATATTGAATACTAGAATAATTCCAATAAATGTTTTTTTCTCCTATGCCAGGACAAAGCTGTGACAGTGAAAAATGAGAGATACTAAATAAGGAAAAAGCCATTAGCTTAATGTGGCAGAATACCTTTTGTGACCTGGTAAAATAGAAGCAATTAATGTGTGAATATTTTGTTTGCTGAGTCCCATTTAGATTTCTGATATCTATAATGTCCAAGCAGAATATTTTAATTGAATCAAGTCAAAGGCTAAGGAATATGCTATTTTGGAAGCTGAGTGAAATATTTTTTCCTATAGAAATAATAATACTACTTTAAGATAGTATTACACCACACACACACACACACACACACACACACACACACACACACAATCATTTATATTAGAACAGGAAAGAAGACCAATGACTCAGTAATTTTCAATCATGTCTTCAAACTGTAAATCTAGGTAGGTTAAAAAAATACGAATGCCTGGTCCCAACCCTGAGATTCTGAAGTAGTTGATGTGGGTTGAGGAAGGTATGCTGGACATTGTTATATTTAAAATTCCTAAGATAATTCAGCCAGTGTTGAAATCAATGAAAGAGGAGATTTGGGGTATTCCTTCTATTCCTAATTTTCAATAGACCTCTGTGGTTTCTTCCTAATCCCTTTCTGATTCCCAAAGATATAAAGTGACTTGTCTATCATCATATAATATATTAGACAGAGTTAGAGCTAGAAATGTATCTTCTGATTATCAGTCCAGTGTTCTGACTACTATATTAGGCTGGTGATTTTCTTATGACTTGAAAACATGTATATTATTTAACTTATTCTGAGGATATAGTTTAGGGTCTAGATGAACTGTCTTCTGATGGAGGAACGGGGCAGGGTTAGGTTAAGGCCTCTGGAAGCCACTATTTTGAATTACACAGTGGATCCAACAAAGTCAAGCAAATGCAACTCTATCAACATACTACTCTAAAGTAATGGCTTTCAATTGCAGTTGTAAAAACTGACCAGTTCATGGTCAGTGCTGGGGTTGACTAATTCCCAAAGAGCAAGTCTATACACTCTGAGCTGGTGATGTTTTTCATATTTTTATTTTTTTCACTTTCTTCTCTGATTTCAGAAGGAAGGAAATGTACTCAACTGCCATCCCTGTATCATTTAATCCACTTTATTCTGTTTTCCAGAGAAACATAGTTGTCCACCTCACTTATCCCCTGAGTCTGCTAAACCCTTCTGGGCACTGGTGGTTGTTGGTGGAGTCCTGGTTTTCTACAGTTTGATGGTGACAGTGGCCCTGTGCACTTTCTGGGTAAGAGAAGTAGCACTGCATTTGTGCCATCTTTCCACTGCACATGCAATCTGAACTTATGGAAGAATGTTGCCTTGTGGTTTATTTTCTTTTCCTTTTAATATGTGATTATTATTATTATCTTCTCCCCATACTCGAGTAGGTTCTTATTTGAAATAGAAATCTGATGTGAATTCCACTTTTCAGAAGGTACTGAGTAAGTGGCCAGGCGGAAGAAGATGCTGGGAAAATTGGGGGAGGAGACAAGGAGTAACTCCCTTTCTTCTCCCCAATTTGCAATATAATTATGACACATAAAACACTTTTAATGCATACATTTGTATAAAATTCCAGGCAACTTGGGAAACTAGGTAACTGAAGCCAACAAAAAACTTTGACATGGTCCAAAATCATGAGAAAATTGGCTACTGATGTGTATTCAAATCTAGCAAAGAAATGAGATGTGTTTATCTGAGTCATTCTTTTGTCTCCTCTGAAGCAGTTGAATTGTGTGAGGCCAAGCATGGGGCTGTCATTATGAAACGCTAATGGGAATTAGACTTTTCTGAGCTCTCACCACCTAATCGAAGTTTACCAACTTTTGCAAATGTTTGTGTAACACACTTGGTGCATTTCCCTTTGCACCAAGCATTGACTTTTTGGCTTAGGTTTGAACACATTTTGATGAATATATCTGCAGTTGAGAAGAGATCTCCTGAGCGAGAATCTCTTCCTCACTCAGTGACTTCCTTCTCACGCTGGTAGTATGTACGGATTACCTTATGTATTAACTCCATGCTGTCTTTGACTTTTTTCTAGAAGCTAGATGCATGTATGAGTCATTTCTTTGATGAGAAATGTATCCTCTTCAAGAAGAAGGGACCAATTCTGTTGATATTCTCCACAGTTTGATATTAAGTACATTTGGTACTTAATAAATGCACTTATTAGATTGATGAATCAATAACCCCCAGAGAGGTCAAATTCAGGACTTAAATGAGCCTACCTGAAGTAGGATGTCCATCTTTAAGGCATAATCCACATAGTTAACTAACTCTCAGATGGGTCAGTGATTTTTTAGAAGCCATACTATGTTAAGCCATCTTGTTTATTAGGCTTGGTGCTGGGAGACAGCTCTGGAGTCACAATCATGCCATTCTATCATCTGGCCTTAGGCCCTTTTTTTTCATTTCATTTTATTTATCTACTATTATTATTTTTGAGTCAGGGGCCTCATGGTGCCCAGGCTGGAGTGCAGTGGTGTGTTCACGGCTCACCACATCCTCAACCTCCTGGGCTCAGGAAATCCTCCTGCCTCAGCCTCCTGAGTAACTGGGACAACAGGTGTGTGAAAAATCATGCCTGTCTAATTTTTTGTAGAGACGGCATCTTTCTATATTGCTTAGGTTTATCTCGAACTCTGGGGCTCAAGCAGTCTTCCGGCCTCAGACTCCCAAAGTGTTGGAATCACAGTTATGAGCTCAGCCTCTTACGCCCTTTTAAACTCTCATTGACTTCTTGCCAAAATTTTCTCTCGATTGTTCCCCATGTGCTCTTTGCAGTTAAGAAGGCCCCAGTGGGCAGATGAATATGTGTCAGGTTGCCTATTGCCTAATCTGTACCCTCTGCAGGGTGGGGAACAAAGTGGTTGCTTGTTCCTGGACATTCTTTATATGAGGTATCATCCTAGGAATTTGCCTGCCTTGTCTTATGTGAGTTGCCCAACCTGACAGGGTTACAGTATTGTCAAGTATTGCCCAAGTTCTGCCTCTCATGTTAGTTGAGTGCTTTTGTCTTTCTGTATCTTTTATCTTCATCCAAGGTATCTTCCAGCTTTGATCCTCTGTGGTGTTTGTCAATAATTTTAGGATTTTTAGAATTCCCAGGTCTTGTTTCTGCCTAATCCCTGGCCATTCCAATCCTTTCATGGGGAAGCTCAGTTTTCTAACTTAAAGGCCAGGTGCAGTGGCCCTCCAGGAAAGGTGCTCCCCTGTGGTATGCTGACTTAGGTTGAAGTAATTTACCAGCTTTGCAGGAAGTAGTCTGGGAGCTGCTTTAACTTTCAGTGGTCGGAAGGATACAGCTCATCATTTAAAACTGATTGTAGACATGCATTAGAATGTCAGGTACTATCATGGGGCACTAATTTGCTGAGTGACTTGAATCCCCACAGGGACAAAAGCGTTTCTCACTCTTAATGGGTTTAAACAGTTCATTTTCTTTTCTTTTCTTTTTTTTAAAGTTAGAGTCTCACTCTTGTTGCCCAGGCTGGAGGGCAGTGGCACGCTCCTGGCCACTGCAGCCTCTACCTGCTGGGCTCCGGCGATCCTTCACCTCAGCCTTCCAAGTAGCTGGAACTACAGGTGCGCACTACCACGCCCAGTTAATTTTTGATTTATTGTAGAGATGAGGTCTCGCCAAGTTGCCCGAGAGGGTCTCGAACCTGCGGGGGTCAGGCAATTCACTCACCTTGGCCTCCCAAAGCACGGGATTACAGGCTGAACCACTGAGCCCGGCCAACAGTTCATTTTCAACTCAAGCACCTCATAGATGCTTGGGGTTTTTCTTTGGCAGCATGACTACGAACTCCTAGTGAGGTTCTTTTTGCTTTACTTTGAGAAAACTTACCTCTGGTCTTATTTTGTCTCACAGACCCCCTGTGAATTGGGTAGTTCCTGTCCTTGGCATGTCTTATCATCTGTGGCCTCTGGTAAAAAATAAGAACTACCCTCAAATCTCAAATCTAGGTCTTTGCACTCTGACTAAAAGGTATAAATGCAAAATGTTATAGAATACATTTTGGGCTCATCTTTTCCGTTTGTTGCTGTTTAAGCAACAAGAAACTTGCTGAGCTGGGCATCTAGGCCGTTGAGATCCCTAGAGTTTAGCTGCTTCCTGGGTCATTTTCTGAAATCCTATTTTTGGCTGGTCTGCAGTGTGCCTTGGTGTAAGCTTCTGTGTTCTGGAACTTCCTGGAGGCCTGTGATGTGCCACTGTAGGCAGATCTAGGCTGAGTGGGTTTCTGGGAGCAGCTGCAGATTCTTCCTCAGTTCTTGACCTGTTGTTGACATTTGAGTAAATAAAGAGCTCCTCTCAGTCAGGCTGCCACAGACCAGCACCTGTTCCTTTCAATTCTCCATCCACTCAGCTGAATTGGTCAACCTGCTTCTTTCCCTAGTCTAAAGGAGCATTTTAAAAAACATCGTGTCTCCCACTGCAGATCACAATGTGGGGGATGTGGATAGTGTGTGTACAGGTAGTAACTGCCTTTTAATCCAGTTGATTCTTTTTTTTTTGAGATGGAGTCTCACTCAGTTGCCCAGACTGGAGTGCAGTGGCCGCTCCCGGACACCGTAGCCTCGACCTGCTGGGCTCCAGCGATCCTTCCGCCTCAGCCTTCCAAGTAGCTGGAACTACAGGCGCATGCTACCACGCCCGGCTAATTTTTTTGATTTTTATTGCAGAGATGAAAAGTTGCCCAGGCGGGTCTCGAACCCGCGGGCTCAGGCAATTCACTCACCTCGGCCTCCCAAGGTGCAGGATTACAGGCTGAGACACCAAGCCCGGCCCCAGTTAATTCTTAAAGTAGATTACCTTGTGTTTGTCCTGGGGGTGGCTGCTGCTCCCAGGACAGGGGTGGGTAGGGCTGGTGTTAGGGGGAAGGCCAGAGGAGGAGCTGTCCTGACATCTCACTTGGTTAGCAGACATTGGCTGGGAAGGAGTGGAAGGGATGACACGGTCACCAGACACATAGTTGGGTAGGCCCTGCACACATATATGTACATGCCAGATGCACATGGGCACTTTGTGTTCTGAAGGGTGTCCCCAGTCCTATGTGTGTCATTTCCATCCCACTGCTGTGTCTAGAGTTGGGGCAAGAATAAGTAAATCCACTGCCTGCTCACAGTGTGGGGGAGCATGGGAGCTGATCGCAGATCGTTCATTATCTTTGTGTGCAACCTGGAAAACCTCAGAGTCAAGACATCTTCATTACTGGGGACTCTCTAGAAGCTATTGTTTTGTTTGGGTGTCTGGAGGCAAAGACTGAAGGTTTGGCAAAGGGAGTAGTCAGGGCTGGAGTAGATACTAAAAATGCTTTTCAGATTAACATCAGCAATCTTTTACACTTATCTGGGTACAGACATTTCCTTGGTCTCACCCTTGCCCTGCTGTAGTCCTGTGCACAGAATTCTAGTCTGTTATTCATAAAAAGGATGTAGAACCAAGATGATTCTTTCTTGCTGGGGACTGCCCTGTGAATGTAGAATGTTCAGCAGCATCTCTGGCCTCTACCCACCAATGCCAGTAACATTCCTCCATATTGTGACAACCCAAAATGTCTTTAGACCTTGTCAAATGTCTCTTGGGACAGGGGTTAAGGGAGCTTGAGTTGTCAAGAATGAAGCTTGGCAGGTCTGCCTTGGGCAAGTGTTTATATGAAGGTGTCATTCACTGAGATGAGAAACACTAGGACAAGACCAGATCTAGGGGGACATCTTGAGTTTTGTCAGGGTCTCGCTCTGTTGCCTAGGTTGGAGTGTGCAGTGGTACAATCACAGGTCACCTCAACCTCAACCTTCTGGGCTCAGGTGATCCTCCCATTTTGGCCTCCAGAGTAGCTGGGACTACAGGGGCATGCAACCATGTCCAGCTAATTTTTTGATTTTTTTTGTAGAGACAAGGTCTCACTGTGTTGCCTAGGCTGGTCTCGAACTCCTGGGCTCAAGTGATCCTCTTGCCTTGGTCTCTCAAAATGCTGAGAATGTAGGCATGAGCCATCAGGCCTGGCTGGAGTGCCTCTGAGTCCAGAGACATAAATTCAGATGAATAAGTGGTCACTGAAGCTTTGAAGGTGGATGAGACTGCCGAGGGAAAGAGGGTAGAGTGAGTAGAGGAGAAGACCAAGGACCATGCCATGAGGAATTCTAACTTGCAATTCTGAGCTTGCAAAGAAGGCAGGCAGGAGTGGCTAGAGGTAGGACAAAAGCCAGGATGTGGTGGATGGCAAAGAAGAAGAGAGGTGCAAAAACAGGAGAGTGATCAGCATTAGAGAACACTGCTGAGAGCTCCAGAAGGTACCTGAGACGTGCTAGCTGTGTCTACCAACATGAGGTCAGGGTTTTCCAAACCTTTTTAACACTTTCTCAGGCCCCTCTGTTAAGAAACTGGGAAGGCTCAGGCAGGCGTGTGTGGACATAAGTCAAGGCTGAAGTCATTCCTTCACGCACTCATCCAGGTATCACATCACATGTGTGTGACATGTCTACTGAGGCGCCAGGCCTGTGTGCTAAGAAATAGGTTTTTGTTTTCTAATAGAGGATTCTGAATCCAGAAATCCAGATGACCTTCTATTTTTAGAATTTTTTTTGTTGTTGAAAATGTAAAATTGACCATCACATTGATCCAGAAATGATTCTTCCAAGCCTCAGTCCACAATTTTGCTAAGATTCATGGTAAGGGTAACTTCACTGCTTTTAATTCCTGCAGTCCTAGTAGAAATCTATCCTGGGGAGCTGGGCCTTGTGGGGTGGGGATGAGGGACACAATTGTCAGTAGAAACATGCGCCCCCTAAGGGAAGAAGATGTAACTGGTTGTCTAGAACTGGACATCCCCATTCATTTGGACTCTACCTTTACAAATGTATGATTACTCCAGATCCAGGAGGAGCTGAAGGTCATCCTCTTTGGTTAATTATGGAAAAGTGACTTTTTAAGCAGATGCTAATGTAAGAAGATTGAAATGGAAAAAGGCTTCACCTGTTCAAAGGAGGAAGGGCCTTCAAGTGCATTTGAAAATCCACAGTGGGTATGTTATTTAGCATGCTTTTGGAATTCAGGTCAAATTACAGCATTGAGAGAAACTTTGGTGTGTTTCTCTCAAACACTTTCTTTAATTGAGATTTTTCTTTTTTTTTGAGTTGGAGTCTCACTGTTGCCCAGACTGGAGTTCAGTGGCCGCTCCCGGCCACCGCAGCCTCGACTTGCTGGGCTTTGGCGACCCTTCCGCCTCAGCCTTCCAAGTAGCTGGAACTATAGGCTCACACTACCATGCCGGGCTAATTATTTTGATTTACTGTAGAGATGAGATCTCGCCTGCCCAGGTGGGTCTCGAACCCGTGGGCTCAGGCAATTCACTCACCTCAGCCTCCCAAAGGCGCGGGATTACAGGCTGAGCCACTGAGCCCGGCTTAATTGAGATTTTTCAATTTCACTCAGAAGAGTCAGTAGTTAGGGTTTGATGAGTCATTATCCAAGTCCAAGGTGCTCAAGGAATGCTGGTGTTTAGTGTCATTTGAACCATTGCCCCAGTCTTTGAACTCCTTCTACGATTGACACTTGTCTTTTCCACAGATGAAGAGTAAGAGGAGCAGGCTCCTTCAGAGTGACTACATGAACATGACCCCACGGCGACCTGGTCCCACACGCAAGCACTACCAGCCCTACGCTCCAGCACGCGACTTTGCGGCCTACCGCTCCTGACACAGACACCTATCCAGAAGCCAGCCGGCTGGCACGCACAACCTGCTCAACATCACTGCTCTGGATAGGAAAGTGCCGCCTCACCTCCAGCCGGCCACTCAGGGCCCTGCTAGGCCATTGAGTTGAGTTTTCTTGAGTGACTAGACCAAACATCACCATCATTTTGAGACTCGAGATGAAGTGAAAGAGCGTTCTTACGGCTGGCCAAGTGGGGCCATGCCATGACCCAAATTCAAACTGACCATGTATTTATTGACTTGTCTGAGACGTTAGGGCAGAAACAAACAGTGAGTGGGTTCTGTGAGCCTTGAAATCTGCTTCCAAGCTGCTGACTGAGCCTCTTTCCTTTCTCACTCACTTGCACAACTCAATCAACCAAAGTGTGATGTCCATGAACATTTTAGATGGAGAAGAAAGACTAGAAAACTATTCTTTTTGGTTAAATGGGTGTTCAGGGTGGTAGTAGGTTAGAGTAGGGGGAGGGAGAGGGAGACTTTGATATTTTAAAACCATTAAAACTGTCTCCCACTCATGAAATGAGCCATTGAGTTCCTATTTAATGCTGTTTTCCTTTTAGTTTAGAAAGCTGTAGACATTGTCTTTGAGGAATTCTGACCATATTTAGCCATTTTGACTAATGGGATCCCCTCAAAACAATGCCGAGGAAACCAACATGCTTTCCTTACTTCCTGTGATGTGACTTCAGTGTTAATGTTTGCAATATAACTTCAAAGGAATTAAGAGTTCTCTGACACTGAGGAAGAATGTGTCAGGAAATAAGGTCACTTTATATCAAAATTGTTTGTCTACTCTGAAGGGTGATTTGTCCACCAGCTCATTCCAGTCAGACCAGCAGGGGCTCTCCTGTTCCCTACGGCTCAGTGTTAGCAGTTGGTCTCTTCCTTGTCTGCATGGAGAGCTGAAATGAGATGCTGACAGAGCACCCACAGGAGGACTGGGAAACGCTGTGAAAAGGGATGCAAGCATTCATTCATGAGGATTGACTCCCAAGAAGTTTCTTCTGAAGGAGGGAGAGTAGAAGGGAATGATGACATTCTTGCCATGGGCTGAGAAGGTGGCTGGCATTGGATGGAAGTTTTCCAGAAGGGATCAGGCAAAGGGACCCCTTTCTCACAGAGACTTTATATGTGTGAAAGCTCAGAACTCTGGTTACAGCTGGCCCTGTATCTTGGAGAGCCATTGACATGGGAAAGTATTTTAGAGTGTGTCTTTTGAGAGAACGTCAAAGTTCTCAAGAGACTCCGCAAGGCCTGGCTCTGGAATGACTCTGAATATTTTTCTGCCTCCAATCTGACTCCACTGGAAAATGCCTGGGGGTCCTGAAGAATGGCTCTTCTGTGCCTTTACAGATTTGTTTAGTGCTTTGATTAATCCAAGTATTGGAGTATCCTAGGTTTTAGGGGCAGACAGTCTTGGTTCAAGTCCCATTACTAGCTGAATGGCCTCAGGCAAGCCTCTGCCCATCTAAGACTATGGTTCTACAACTATAAAATGAAGATAATGATAACAAATGTCTGTTCCTACACTATAATCTTTGTGAGGGTGTGGCCCAGTATGTCTTTGTCTCTGCTTGTCCCTGACATTTAGCACCATGTCTGACATATTATGTTAGCTATTATTATTATTATAGTCATATAAAAATTAAACTCGGCAATGACCTAGGAAGGGAGGGAATATTGTAACACACATTTAAACCCACTATGCAGAGATGAGGTGCTATAATATATATGAGTCCCTCTTCTACCATTTTCCTGTTTCTTGGGATATTTTGTCTTGTAATGAAATATAGGTAAACCTCCCACTTTTATGTATAGAGAGAGAGGTCTTAAAAATGTTTTTTTAATGTGGGGAAGAGGGAAGGGGTAGGAGTCTTATGATTCCAGATAGGAAATATTGTACTCTGGTTGATTTTTGAATGGGCTTCCATTCCATGAATTTAATTAATCCAAAGAAGGTCAAACTCAGCAGTACTTGGGTGATGAAGGACTGCTGAACTTATACTGGCACCTATCAACCTCTTGTGCACACCAAGTTCTTCAATTTAAGTTATCAGATTGTATTTGAAAAGGACAGAACTGGAGACTTTTTACAAAAGGCTGTGGTATATAAATAAATAAACATTTCTAAAATGGAAAAATCTGATCTATGGTAATACATGGTTTTATTTTCTAACTGGAAAAGTAGGCTTACTAAAGATGAATCACACTTGAGATGTTTCTTACTCACTTTGCACAGAACCAAAGTAGAAATGTTATACAGGGAAGTCCATTTTCACTATTAGTATGAATCAAGAAATGGCTGAAAAACAGTGACTGGAGCAATGCTTTCATAGTTTCAGTCTGGTAATTGTGAAGAAAACAATGCCATTTGCTGCTATGGTTGTAAGTGTCTTATCATTAATGGTATTCTTGTAATTTTTGATTGTCAGCTCACCTATTTTGGACTGAACATGTCAATTTAAAAAGACCAAGTGAACATTATGTTCTCTGTATTCGGTGATAAAACTGCTAAACTATCATATGCCTGTTTTGAATTAGTACCCAATTTTTGAAATTTTATCTATTATTATTATTATTTTTAATAGAAACAAGGTCTTGCTATGTTGCCCAAACTGGTCTTGAACTTGTGGGCTCAAGAAATCTTCCTGCTTCAGCCTCACAAAGCTGGGATTACAGGCATGAGCCACAGTGCCTGGCCTGAATTTGTGCTTTAATATTGCTTTTCAATATTAAGAAAGATATGCTTTCAGAGTAGACATGCTTCACTTTGGCAATGAATCTGGAGAAAACGTGCTATTTAAAAGAGGTAAAGGATAAATCCTTTTATAAATCTTCAGTTTAGCCTTTAAAAAAAAATTAGACTTTCAAATAACTAGTTTCATTTCTAGCAAGGTACATTTCTGGTTTGTTTGCTTGGCGTTAGTCTGTTTCTCATTGGACCAATGGTTCCCTTCTCTCAGATGTTGGGCTGATCTTATCTGTGCATTCTATGTGATGTGAATGCTTCAAAATTTGAGAGAAGTCAAGCTTCAGCCTCGACTCCATCCATTCCTTAGGTGAGCCAACGAAACCAGTCCTCATGGTGATTTTAATGAGGTGGTGATTTTAATGGGAGTGGTGATGGTCACACAGCCTTTTGTACTATACCAGGCTAGGATGGGAACTCTAACAGGACTATAACCGAGCCTAAGGTGTTAGATTCAACTCCATGCTGGAGATTGGAGATGGTATCAGTGAACCCAGAAACACAATTATGACTGCCATATACCTGTTACTGACCTAGGTCAAACGCAGTGGCATGGATTCTTTCAAGACCTGGGGTGAGTGAGTCTGTGCTATCTGCAAGGCCATTTAAGGCTCAGTAAAACTCTCTCTCTTTTATAATTTTATACATGTTCCTCCTCAAACATCACAGCACGTCCCTATTGCAGGGCCTTTACAGATACTATTTTCTCTGTTTGAAATCTTTCCTAGATATCCATCTGGCTTGATCCTTTAGGGCCCTGCTCAAGTGTGAACCTCTTCCCTAGTTAAATTCCCCCATACCCTGTCTGCTTTCTCTGCTTATTTTTCTCCCGAGCATGTTACATCTCTTATACTAGATGTTTTGCTGATTTATTTGTTTATTGCTTGGTTCTCCAGACTAAAATGTAAGCTCCATGAGGGAAAGAACTTCATCTGTTTTGTTTATTGCTGTATGCCTAATGCCTAGAACAGTGCCTGGCATACAATAAACATTTATTGATGGAGTGAGTGAATTTCACATGGCCACATGAATTAATGGTCAGTCTAAACATTCTAATCACACTTTGAGTAGGAGAGAGTTTATTGTCTTTTCTACTTTTCTGTAAATAAGTTCAAAAATTCATCTTATTAGAAAAACAGGAGGAAAAAATATGCACAGTCAAATCTGGCAAAAGGGAATCTGATGGATATAAGTTCATTTACAATTTGGAAATTTTTGTGCAGTGAGGAAAACCAATACTGTTAGAAAGAATCATCCTAAAACATCATGCTAAATAAGCCACTTCATTTTCCACTGAAGTCCCTAATTCCCTCTTCATGGTGTATGGTCTATGATTTAAACATATCTTTAGCTCAAGACTTCTGAAAAGGTTGCCCTTGTAGTTAAAATCTCATCCTACTATTGACCTGCTGCTTGCTTTTTTCTGTGGGGTGATTTTTACCCCCAACAAACTCTGTGCATGCCTTGCCTGGCTCTGATTCAAAAAGAGCTTAAAAACGGGAATGCTAGGGATAGAAAATGTCAGCTTCTTCACCTGTCAAGCTCATGTCGTAGCTGGACATTCTAATATCTTACAATAGTTTAAAAATAAAACAACAACAGACAACAAAACTTATGGCATTCAGAGCAAGTTGAGAATCAAGTTAGACACACACACACACACACACACACACACACACACCCCTTTCATCTTGTGGGAAGGGGATGACTCTTGAACAACAGACACAAGAGTTAGCAGCTTCTGTTTCCTTCATTGTAAATATTACATTGAAGGTACCTGGAGTTCATTGGATAGGTGTGTAATGAGTTCATCTCCAAACCGACTCTTTTCTTTGTTGAAATGGAGCTCATTAAACTTAAGAAAGTAACTAAAACTTGAAAAAGATGAGCTTACATGTTTCTCACTACTCCAAGAAGGAATGAACTCAGCTGGTTACTCCTGGATGGTTCAATAGGACCAAATTGGAAAGGGACAAGATTGGTTTTTAAAAAAAAAACAGCCGTAAGTGAATCTGCTCAGTAAGCATTCTTTTGCTGTGCTAATAAAAATAGTGTAACCTCATTCTATAAAAAGGTTCTAGTACCTTGAAACTCAAGTTTAAGACAAAATAAAAAGCAGATTTTTCCCAGTTGACCTCCCATCACATTCCAGTATGGATATTGTGATTGTCCACGACCCCGAGCTCACTTTTTCCCTCCAGTCTGATAAAGCAGATTGATTTGTTTTCAGATAGTATCCTTTCTCCTCTCTCATCTTGTCTGGAACAGAAATAATGAATGGGTAAGAAAAATTAGGGAAACTTCTGGATTCACTGTAATGGAGCCTGACTACCACACTGAGCAGCAACAAATGAGATGGTCTAGAAACCAGACCAACACAATGTTTCATAACTTTACCTTTCTAGTG